TGGAGTCGGTTTTGGGGTGAATTTGGGGGATTTTGGGCAATTTTCGGTAATTTTTGGGGAATTTTCGGTAATTTTTAGGGGTTTTAAATGGGATTTTTGGAGGTTTATGGGCACTTTTGGGGGGGTTTTTGGGCCACCGAATCGTCCAGCATCGGGTCCAGGGCACAGGCCTGGGAAAAAGGGGGTTTTGGGGTGAATTTCGGGGATTTTGGGCAATTTTGGGCGATTTTGGGTAATTTTTGGGGAGTTTTAGGGGGGTTTTCAGTGTTTTAAATGGGATTTTTGGGGGTTTTAATGGGGATTTTGGGGGATTTTGGGAGTCCTTGGAGTTGATTTTGGGGGTATTTGGGGGATTTTGGGGTGAATTTCGGGGATTTTGGGCAATTTTGGGTGATTTTTGGGTAATTTTTGGGGTTTTTAGGGGGGATTTTGAGAGGAATTTGGGGGTTTTAGGGGGGATTTTTGGCGGTTTGGGGGGGATTTTAAGGGGATTTGGGTGTGATTTGGGGGAATTTAGGGGATTTTGGGGTGAATTTGGGGGATTTTGGGCAATTTTGGGCGATTTTTAGGGGGATTTTGAGAGGAATTTGGGGACTTTAGGGGTGGTTTTAGGTGTTTTAAAGGAGGATTTTGAGGGGGTTTGGGGGGATTTTTGAAAGTTTAGGGGAGGATTTGGGGGATTTGAATGGGTTTTTGGGGTGAATTTGGGGGATTTTGGGCAATTTTGGGTAATTTTTTAGGGGATTTGGGAGGGTTTAAATGGGATTTTCAGGGGTTTTAAAGGGGATTTTGGGGGAATGTTGAGGGGGTTTTGGGGGAGATTTTGGGTCATTAGAATCGATTTTTGGGGGGTTTTAGAGAGTGGAGTCGGTTTTGGGGTGAATTTGGGGGATTTTGGGCAATTTTGGGGGATTTTTTAGGGAATTTTTGGGGGCACAGACCCCCGGCCCGGCGGCACTCGGGGCTCAGGGGGGCGAGGCTGAGGAACCCGTGCGGGACCCCCGGGACCACCCGAAGGGTCACGGGCCGGCCCAGGGCTCGTAAACGCCGGGCCAGGGCCACCGAATCGTCCAGCATCGGGTCCAGGGCGCAGGCCTGGGAAAAAGGGGGTTTTGGGGTGAATTTCGGGGATTTTGGGCAATTTTGGGCAATTTTTTGGGGAGTTTTAGGGGGGGTTTTGGTGTTTTAAATGGGATTTTTGGGGGTCTTAAAGGGGATTTTGGGTGTTTTAAAGGGGATTTTGGGTGAGATATGGGATCCTTGGAGTTGATTTTGGGAAGATTTGGGGGATTTTGGGGTGAATTTGGGGGATTTTGGGCAATTTTGGGCGATTTTAGGGTGATTTTTAGGTAATTTTTAGGGGTTTTATATGGGATTTTGGGGGTTTTAAAGGGGGATTTTGGGGGGTTTTTGGGGATTTTGGGGGAGATTTGGCGTCCTTGGAGTTGATTTTGGGGGGATTTGGGGGATCTTGGGGTGAATTTGGGGGATTTTGGGCAATTTTGGGTAATTTTTGGTAATTTTTATGTGTTTTAAACTGGATTTTGGGGGGATTTTCGGAGGGTTTGGGGGGAATGTTGAGGGGATTTTGGGGGAGATTTGGGGTCCTTGGAGTTGATTTTGGGGGGTTTTAGAGAGTGGAGTCGGTTTTGGGGTGAATTTGGGGGATTTTGGGCAATTTTGGGTAATTTTTTAGGGAATTTTTGGGGGCACAGACCCCCGGCCCGGCGGCACTCGGGGCTCAGGGGGGCGAGGCTGAGGAACCCGTGCGGGACCCCCGGGACCACCCGAAGGGTCACGGGCCGGCCCAGGGCTCGTAAACGCCGGGCCAGGGCCACCGAATCGTCCAGCATCGGGTCCAGGGCGCAGGCCTGGGAAAAAGGGGGTTTTGGGGTGAATTTCGGGGATTTTGGGCAATTTTGGGCGATTTTTACATGTTTTAAAGGGGAGTTTTGGGCATTTTGGGGGGGATTTTTGGAGGTTTTGGAGGGAAAAAAGGGGGATTTGGGGGAGATTTTGGGTCATTAGAATCGATTTTTGGGGGCTTTGGGGGAGTGGAGTCTATTTTGGGGTGAATTTCGGGGATTTTGGGCAATTTTGGGCGATTTTTGGGGATTTTTCGGTAATTTTTAGGTGTTTTATATGGGATTTTGGGGGGATTTTTGGGGGTTTTAAAGGGGATTTTGGGGGGTTTTGGGGGTCCTTGGAGTTGATTTTGGGGGGATTTGGGGGATTTTGGGGTGAATTTGGGGGATTTTGGGCAATTTTGGGGGGATTTTGGGGAATTTTTTGGGTAATTTTTAGGTGTTTTAAAGGGGGATTTTGGGCAATTCTGGGGGGCTTTAGGGGGGATTTTTGGAGGTTTGGCAAGGTTTGAATGGGATTTTGGGGTGAATTTGGGGGATTTTGGGGTGAATTTGGGGGATTTTGGGCAATTTTGGGTAATTTTTTAGGGGATTTTTGGGGGCACAGACCCCCGGCCCGGCGGCACTCGGGGCTCAGGGGGGCGAGGCTGAGGAACCCGTGCGGGACCCCCGGGACCACCCGAAGGGTCACGGGCCGGCCCAGGGCTCGTAAACGCCGGGCCAGGGCCACCGAATCGTCCAGCATCGGGTCCAGGGCGCAGGCCTGGGAAAAAGGGGGTTTTGGGGTGAATTTCGGGGATTTTGGGCAATTTTGGGCGATTTTAGAGTGATTTTTGGGGGAATTTTGGGGCATTTTTGGAGGTTTGGGGGTTTTAAATGGGGATTTTGGGGGGATTTTGGGGGGGTTTGGGGTCCTTGGAGTTGATTTTGGGGGGATTTGAGGGATTTTGGGGTGAATTTGTGGGATTTTGGGCAATTTTGGGTGATTTTGGGCAATTTTGGGGGGATTTTTGGGCAATTTTTGGAGGGTTCTGGGTAATTTTTAAGGGGTTTTAGGGGGGGTTTTGGAGGTTTTGGGGGGAATTTTAAGGGGGTTTGGGTGGGATTTTGAGGTGAATTTGGGGCATTTTGGGGTGAATTTGGGGGATTTTGAGCAATTTTGGGTGATTTTCGGTAATTTTTTGGGATTTTTGAGGGGTTTTAGGGGGGATTTTTGGAGGTTTGGGGGTTTTAAAGGGGGATTTTGGGGAGGTTTTGGGGGAATGTTGAGGGGGTTTGGGTGGGATTTTTGGGGGATTTTGGGGTGAATTTGGGGCATTTTGGGGTGAATTTGGGGGAATTTGGGCAATTTTTGGGGTGAATTTGGGGGATTTTGGGCCATTTTCGGTAATTTTTTAGGGAATTTTTGGGGGCACAGACCCCCGGCCCGGCGGCACTCGGGGCTCAGGGGGGCGAGGCTGAGGAACCCGTGCGGGACCCCCGGGACCACCCGAAGGGTCACGGGCCGGCCCAGGGCTCGTAAACGCCGGGCCAGGGCCACCGAATCGTCCAGCATCGGGTCCAGGGCGCAGGCCTGGAAAAAAGGGGGTTTTGGGGTGAATTTCGGGGATTTTGGGCAATTTTGGGCAATTTTTTGGGGAATTTTCGGTAATTTTTTGGGGTTTTAAATGGGATTTTTGGGGGTTTTAAAGGGGATTTTGGGGGATTTTGGGGTCCTTGTAGTTGATTTTGGGGGGATTTGAGGGATTTTGGGGTGAATTTGGGGGATTTTGGGGTGAATTTGGGGGATTTTGGGCAATTTTGGGGTGAATTTCGGGGATTTTGGGGTAATTTTTGGGGGGTTCTGCGTAATTTTTAAGGGGTTTTAGGGGGGATTTTGGGGGGTTTTGGGGGAATGTTGAAGGGGTTTGGGTGGGATTTTTGGGGGATTTTGGGGTGAATTTGGGGGATTTTGGGGTGAATTTGGGGGAATTTGGGCAATTTTGGGGTGAATTTCGGGGATTTTGGGCAATTTTGGGCAATTTTAGAGTGATTTTTGGGGGGTTTTATGGGGGATTTTTGGGGGTTTTAGGGGGGATTTTGGGGGGTTTTTGGGCCACCGAATCGTCCAGCATCGGGTCCAGGGCGCAGGCCTGGGAAAAAGGGGGTTTTGGGGTGAATTTCGGGGATTTTGGGCAATTTTGGGCGATTTTTTGGGGAATTTTCGGTAATTTTTAGGGGGTTTAAATGAGATTTTTGGGGGTTTATGGGCACTTTTGGGGGGGTTTTTGGGCCACCGAATCGTCCAGCATCGGGTCCAGGGCGCAGGCCTGGAAAAAAGGGGGTTTTGGGGTGAATTTCGGGGATTTTGGGCAATTTTCAGGGATTTTAGAGTGATTTTTGGGGGAATTTTGGGGCATTTTTGGAGGTTTTGGGGGGAAAAAAGGGGGATTTGGGGGAGATTTTGGGTTGGTAGAATCCATTTTTGGGGGATTTCAGGGAGTGGAGTCGGTTTTGGGGTGAATTTCGGGGATTTTGGGCAATTTTGGGCGATTTTTAGATGTTTTAAATGGGATTTTTGGGGGTTTTAAAGGGGATTTTGGGGGGTTTAAATGGGATTTTGGGGGAATGTTGAGGGGGTTTGGGGAGGATTTTTAGAGGTTTAGGGGAGGATTTGGGGGATTTGAATGGGTTTTTGGGGTGAATTTGGAGGATTTTGGGCAATTTTGGGGGATTTTTTGGTAATTTTTATGTGTTTTAAATGGGATTTTTGGGGAGTTTTAAAGGGGATTTTGGGGGTTTTAAAGGGGATTTTGGGAGATTTGGGGTAGGTAGAATCGATTTTTGGGGGGTTTTAGAGAGTGGAGTCGGTTTTGGGGTGAATTTGGGGGATTTTGGGCAATTTCCGGTAATTTTTTAGGGGATTTTTGGGGGCACAGACCCCCGGCCCGGCGGCACTCGGGGCTCAGGGGGGCGAGGCTGAGGAACCCGTGCGGGACCCCCGGGACCACCCGAAGGGTCACGGGCCGGCCCAGGGCTCGTAAACGCCGGGCCAGGGCCACCGAATCGTCCAGCATCGGGTCCAGGGCGCAGGCCTGGGAAAAAGGGGTTTTGGGGTGAATTTCGGGGATTTTGGGCAATTTTTGGTAATTTTTGGGGAATTTTCGGTAATTTTTAAGGGGTTTTAAATGAGATTTTTGGGGGTTTTAAAGGGGATTTGTTGGGGTTTTGGGGCCACCGAATCGTCCAGCATCGGGTCCAGGGCGCAGGCCTGGGAAAAAGGGGGTTTTGGGGTGAATTTCGGGGATTTTGGGCAATTTTGGGCGATTTTGGGTAATTTTTGGGGAGTTTTAAGGGGGGTTTTGGTGTTTTAAATGGGATTTTTGGAGGTTTTAATGGGGATTTTGGGGGGTTTTGGGGGCCCTTGGAGTTGATTTTGGGGGGATTTGGGGGATTTTGGGGTGAATTTGGGGGATTTTGGGCAATTTTGGGTGATTTTTGGGGAGTTTTAGGGGGGATTTTAGATGTTTTAAAGGGGGATTTTGGGGGTTTTGGGGGGGATTTTGGGGGAATGTTGAGGGGATTTTGGGGGAGATTTGGGGTCCTTGGAGTTGATTGTGTGGGGATTTGGGGGATTTTGGGGGTGGATTTGGGGGATTTTGGGCAATTTTGGGCGATTTTTGGGCAATTTTTGGGTAATTTTTAGGTGTGTTAAAGAGGGGTTTTGGGGGGGATTTTGGGGGTTTTAAAGGGGATTTTGGGAGATTTGGGGTCGGTAGAATCGATTTTTGGGGGGTTTTAGAGAGTGGAGTCGATTTTGGGGTGAATTTGGGGGATTTTGGGCAATTTTCGGTAATTTTTTAGAGGATTTTGAGTGTTTTAAAGGGGATTTTTGGGGGTTTTAAAGGGGATTTTGGGAGATTTTGGGTTGGTAGAATCCATTTTTGGGGGTTTTAGAGAGTGGAGTCGGTTTTGGGGTGAATTTGGGGGATTTTGGGCAATTTTGGGTAATTTTTTAGGGAATTTTTGGGGGCACAGACCCCCGGCCCGGCGGCACTCGGGGCTCAGGGGGGCGAGGCTGAGGAACCCGTGCGGGACCCCCGGGACCACCCGAAGGGTCACGGGCCGGCCCAGGGCTCGTAAACGCCGGGCCAGGGCCACCGAATCGTCCAGCATCGGGTCCAGGGCGCAGGCCTGGAAAAAAGGGGGTTTTGGGGTGAATTTCGGGGATTTTGGGCAATTTTGGGGGATTTTAGGGCAATTTTTGGGGATTTTTTAGGGGATTTTGGGGGGATTTTTGGAGGTTTTGGGGGGAAAAAAGGGGGATTTGGGGGAGATTTGGGGTCCTTGGAGTTGATTTTGGGGGGATTTGGGGGATTTTGGGGTGAATTTGGGCAATTTTGGGTAATTTTTGGGTAATTTTGGGAGGTTTTTAGCTGTTTTAAAGGGGGGATTTTGGGGTTTTGGGGGGGATTTGGATGGTTTTAAAGAGGATTTTGGCGGGGGGTTTGGGGTCCTTGGAGATGATTTTTGGGGGCATTTTGGAGATTTTGGGCTAAATTTGGGGAATTTTGGGGAATTCTGGGCAACTTTGGGGGATTTTAAGTGTTTTAAAGGGGGATTTTGGGGGTTTTAAAGGGGGATTTTGGGGAGGTTTAGGGGGAATGTTGAGAGGGTTTGGGTGGGATTTTTGGGGGGTTTTGGGGTGAATTTGGGGGATTTTTGGGTGAAATTGGGGGATTTTGGTGAATTTGGGGGATTTTGGGGAATTTTTGAGGTATTTTGAGGCTGAGTTTTGAGTCCCTTTTTTTGGGGGTACTTACGAAATATTTTTGGGAAATTTTTGGGGAAATTTTGGATGAATTTTTGTCAAATTTTTTGCCTAAATTTGACCTTTTTTTTCTCCCCTTTTTTTTTCCTAAATCCCGGATTTTTTCGGGCTGGATTTTTTTGGAAAATTCGGGATTTTTGCAACGATTTCTTGGGGAATTTTGGGAGGAATTTGGAGATTTTTTTGAGGTTTTTTTGGTGGATTTGGGGCTGAGTTTTGAGTCCCTTTTTTTGGGGTATTTCCAAAATATTTAGAGCGAAATTTTAGGGAAAAATTTGGGATTTTTGTGTAAATTTTTGCCTAAATTTACATTTTTTCCTCCCTTTTTTTACCCTAAATCCCGAATTTTTTCAGGGTGTTTTTTTTGAAAAATTCAGTATTTTTGGGGTGAATTTGTGAATTTTTGGGGTTTTTTTTTTTGGGGAGGGGTCTTACCACCAGGTGGATTGGGGGGAGCCCCCCCAGCAACGAATCCGGAGCCAACAGGGGGGACATAAAAGGGTCCCGGGGGGGTTTTGGGGGAATTTTCCCAAAAATCGCGGGGGGTCCCCCGGTCCGGAGGGGTCGAAATCCTTCGGGATACCCCAAAAATTTTGGGGGGTCCTCGAGGGAATCTTCGGGGGGGTCCTCGGAGCTTTCCCCGTCCGAGTTTGGAGATGATTCTGGAAAAAAAAGTGGAAAAAATGTCAAAAAATGGCTAAAAATTCAATATAAATTGTCTTTAAAATCATAAAAAAACCCCCAAAAATTGTCCTCGGAATTGAACTTAAAATTCACCCAAAAAGTCGCAAAATTGGACGAAAATCAAAGGAAAATCCGCCCAAAAAAGTCGCAAAATTGGCCGAAAATCGAAGGAAAATCCACCCCAAAAATCAGCAAAAATCAACTGTAAAATCCACCAATAAACCATAAAAATTCTCCCCCAAAATCCCCCAAATTTCCACCCAAAAATTCCCCCCCAAAACCTCAAAAATTCTCCCCAAAATTCCCCAAATTTGACCCCAAAAATCGACCCGAACAACCAAAAGAATTGTCCCAAAAAATTTCCATAAAAATCCCAAAAGTTCTCCCAAATTTCAACCCAAAAATTCCCCCAAAAATCCCAAAAATTTCTCCCAAAATTCCCCCATAAACCCAAAATTCCCCCCAAAAATCCCCCCGAAAATCCACCCAAAATTCCCCCATAAACCCAAAATTTTCCCCCAAAAATCACCCAAAAATTCCCCCCAAAATTTCTTTAAATTCCCCCCAAAATCCCAAAAAATCCTCAAAAATCCCCCAACTTTAAGACCCCTCCCCATTTTTTATGACCCCCCCCAAAATTTTAAGACCCCTCCCCAATTTTAAACCCCCCCAAATTTTGGGACCCCTCCCCAATTTTAAAACCTCCCCAAATTTTGGGACCCCTCCCCCAATTTTGAAACCCCCCCAAATTTTGGGACCCCTCCCCAATTTTAATTCCCTCCCCAAATTTTAGGACCCCTCCCCAAATTTTAAGACCCCTCCCCAAATTTTAGGACCTGTCCCCAATTTTAAAACCCCGCCCCAATTTAGGGACCCCTTCCCCCACTTTAGGACCCCTCCCCAATTTAGAGACCCCTCCCCAAATTTGAAACCCCCCCAAATTTTGGGACCCCCCCCGAATTTTAAAACCCCCTTAATTTTTTAAGACCCCTCCCCAATTTAAACCCCCCCCAAATTTTGGGACCCCTCCCCCATTTTTTAAGATTCCCTCCCCAAATTTTGGGACCCCCTCCCCAAATTTGGGACCCCTCCCCATTTTTTAAGATTCCCCCCCAAATTTAGGGACCCCCTCCCCAAATTTGAAACCTCCCATAATTAAAAACCCCCTCCCCAAATTTTGGGACCCCTCCCCAAAATTGGGACCCCTTCCCAAATTTTGGGACCCCTCCCCAATTTAAAGACCCCTCCCCAAATTTTGGGACCCCTGCCCAATTTAGGGACCCCTCCCCCCACTTTAGGACCCCTCCCCAATTTTGAAACCCCCCCAAATTTTGGGACCCCCTCCCCATTTTTTAGGACCCCTCCCAAATTTTAAGCCCCTCCCCCAATTTTAAGAACCCTCCCCAATTTAGGGACCCCTCCCCAATTTTAAAACCCCCTTAATTTTTAGGACCCCTCCCCAACTTTGAAACCCCCCAAAATTTTGGGACCCCCCCCCAAATTTTAAGACCCCTCCCCAAATTTTGGGACCCCTCCCCAAATTTGGGACCCCTCCCCCCACTTTAGGACCCCTCCCCAAATTTTAAGAACCCTCCCCACTTTTTTCACTCCTCCCCCAATTTTAAGACCCCCTCCCCAATTTTAAAATCCCCCCAAATTTTAGGACCCCCTCCCCAAATTTTGGGACCCCTCCCCCCACTTTATGACCCCTCCCCATTTTTTAAGACCCCTCCCCACTTTTTTCACTCCTCCCCAAATTTTAAGACCCCTCCCCAATTTAGGACCCCCTCCCCAAATTTGAGACCCCTCCCAAAATTTCGGGACCCCTCCCCATTTTTTAAGATTCCCTCCTCAAATTTTAGGACCCCCTCCCCAATTTAGGGACCCCTCCCCAATTTGAAAACCCCCCAAATTTTGGGACCCCTCCCCCAATTTTAACCCCCCCTCCAAATTTGGGACCCCTCCCCAATTTTTTAAGATTCCCTCCCCAAATTTTGGGACCCCCTCCCCAATTTAGGGACCCCTCCCAAATTTGAAACCTCCCCAAATTAAAGACCCCCTACCCAAATTTTAGGACCCCCTCCCCAAATTTGAAACCTCCCCAAATTTGGGACCCCTCCCCAAATTTTGGACCCCCTCCCCATTTTTTTGGGACCCCTCCCCAAAATTTGGGACCCCTCCCCAAAATTGGGACCCCTCCCCAAATTTTGGGACCCCTCCCCTATTTAAAGACCGGTCAAATTTTGGGACTCCTCCCCAAATTCTGGACCCCCTCCCCAAATTTTGCGACCCCCTCCCCAAATTTTGGGACCCCTCCCCAATTTTAAAACCCCCTTAATTTTTAGGACCCCTCCCCACTTTTTTCACTCCTCCCCAAATTTTAAGACCCCTCCCGTAATTTTAAGACCCCTCCCCAAATTTGAACCCCCCCCCCAAATTTTGGGACCCCTCCCCAATTTTAAGACCCTTCCCCAATTTTAAAATCCCCTTAATTTTCAGGACCCCTCCCCAGTTTTAAGACCCTCCCCAAATTTTGGGACCCCTCCCCATTTTTTAAGACCCCTCCCCAATTTTGAACCCCTCCCCAAATTTGGGACCCCTCCCCAATTTTAAGACCCCTCCCCAAATTTTGGGACCCCTCCCCAATTTTGAAATCCCCCCAAATTTTGGGGCCCCACCCCAATTTTAATTCCCTCCCCATTTTTTTGGGACCCCTCCCCAATTTTAGGACCCCTCCCCAAATCGGGGCCCCCTCACCTGTTTTGGGGGGGGGTCTCCCCCGCAGGAGCCCCCCCAGCCAGGCCGCCCCCCCCCCGCAGCCCCCTCAGGATCAGCCCCTCCCCCACGGGGGGGCCGGGGGGGGGAGGGGAGCGCGACCCCTCCCCCAACGTCCCTGGGGAGGGAAAAAACGTCATTGAAATTGCCCAAAATCCCCCAAAATCGCCCCAAAATCATCCCAAAATACCCCAAAATACCCCAAAATCACCCAAAATCACCCAAAATCACCCAAAATCCCCCCAAAATGACCAAAATCACCCAAAATCCCCCAAAATCGCCCAAAATCGCCCAAAAATCCCACAAAATCCCCCAAAACCATAAATGTGCCCAATGGCTCCAATGTCCCCAATCCCATTTTTCCCAATTTTCCCCCATTTTTCCCCATTTTCCCCCATTTTTTCCCAATTTTTCCTAATTTTTCCCCATTTTCCCCCATCTTTCCCCAATGTCCCCAATCCCAATTTTTCCCCATTTTTCTGCATTTTTCCCCAATTTTCCCCCATTTTTCCCAATTTTTCCCAATGTCCCAAATCCCATTTTCCCCAATTTTCCCCCATTTTTCCCAATTTTTCCCCATTTTCCCCCATTTTTCCCCATTTTTCCCCATTTTTTTCCAATTTTTCCCCATTTCATCCCATTTTTCCCAATTTTCCCCATTTCTCCCAATTTTCCCCCATTTTTCCCAATTTTCCCCCATTTTCCCAATTTTTCCCAATTTTTTCCGGTTTTTCCCCATTTTCCCCCATTTTTCCCCAACGTCCCCAATGTCCCCAATCCCATTTTTCCCAATTTTCCCCCATTTTTCCCTATTTTTCCCCATTTTCCCCATTTTTCCCCATTTTCCCCCATTTTTCCCATTGTTCCCCATTTTCCCCCATTTCCCCCATTTTTCCCCATTTTTTTCCCAATTTTTCCCCAATGTCCCCAATGTCCCCAATCCCATTTTTCCCAATTTTCTCCCATTTTTCCCAATTTTCCCCCAATGTCCCCGATCCCATTTTCCCCAATTTTCCCCCATTTTCCCCCATTTTTCCCCAATGTCCCCAAAGTCCCCAATGTCCCCAATCCCATTTTTTCCTCTTTTCCACCCATTTTTTCCCAATGTCCCGAATGTCCCCAATCCCCCCAATGTCCCCAATCCCATTTTTTCAAATTTTCCCCCATTTTTTCCCATTGTTCCCCATTTTTTTCCCAATGTCCCCAATGTCCCCAATGTCCCCAATGTCCCCAATGTCCCCAATCCCATTTTTCCCAATTTTCCCCCATTTTTTCCCATTGTTCCCCATTTCTGCTCAATGTCCCCAATGTCCCCAATGTCCCCAATGTCCCAAATCCCATTTTTCCCATTTTTTTCCCGATTTTTTCTCAATATCCCCCATACCTCCAATGTCCCCAAATCCCGTCAATGTCCCCAATGTCCCCAATGTCCCAAATCCCATTTTTTCCTCTTTTCCACCCATTTTATCCCAATGTCCTCAATGTCCCAAATGTCCCCAATGTCCCCAATTTCCCCAGTCCCATTTTTTTCCCTTTTCCACCCATTTTTTCCCAAATGTCCCCAATGTCCCCAATCCCATTTTTCCTAATTTTCCCCCATTTTTTCCCATTGTTCCCCATTTCTGCTCAATGTCCCCAACGTCCCCAACGTCCCCAACGTCCCCAATGTCCCCAATGTCCCCAACGTCCCCAATCCCATTTTTCCCAATTTTTCCCCAATTTTTCCCAATTTTTCACCATTTTTCCCAATTTTCCCCATTTTTCCCAATTTTTCCCCATTTTTCCCCAAAGTCCCCAATCCCATTTTTCCCCATTTCTCTCCATTTTTCCCAATTTTTCCCCATTTTCCCCCATTTTTCCCAATTTTCCCCAAAGCCCCCAACACCCCCAACGCCCCTTAACGTCCCCAATGTCCCCAATGTCCCCAATGTCCCCAGTCCCATTTTTTTTCCCTTTTCCACCCATTTTTTCCCAATGTCCTCAAATGTCCCTCAATGTCCCCAATGTCCCCAATGTCCCCAATGTCCCCAATGTCCCCAATCCCATTTTTTTCCCTTTTTCCACCCATTTTATCCCAATGTGCCCAATACCCCAAATGTCCCCAAATCCCGTCAATGTCCCCAATGTCCCCAAATCCCATCAATGTCCCCAATGCCCCCAACGAGCCCAACGCCCCCAACGCCCCCAATCCCATTTTTCCCAATTTTCCCCATTTTTTCCCATTGTTCCCCATTTTTGCTCAACGCCCTCAACACCCCCAATGTCCCCAATGTCCCCAGTGTCCCCAACCCATTTTTGCCCTTTTTCCACCCATTTTTTCCCAATGTCCCCAATGTCCCCAATCCCATTTTTCCCAATTTTCCCCCATTTTTTCCCATTGTTCCCCATTTCTGCTCAATGTCCCCAATGTCCCCAAACCATTTTTTTCCCTTTTTCCTCCAATTTTTTCCCAATATCCCCAATACCACCAATGCCCCCAACGCCCCCAACGTCCCCAATGTCCCCAATGTCCCCAATCCCCTTTTTTCCCCTTTTCCACCCATTTTTTCCCCAATGTCCCGAAAGTCCCCAATGTCCCCAATGTCCCAAATCCCATTTTTTCCCTTTTTCCACCCATTTTTTCCCAATGTCCCCAATACCTCCAATGTCCCCGAATCCCGTCAATGTCTTCAATGTCCCCAATGTCCCCAATGTCCCCAGTGTCCCCAATCACATTTTTTCTCTTTTTCCTCCCATTTTATCCCAATGTCATCCAATGTCCCCAATACCTCCAATGTCCCCAAATCCCGTCAATGTCCCCAATGTCCCCAATCCCATTTTTCCAATTTTCCCCCATTTGTTCCCATTGTTCCCCATTTTTGCTCAATGTCCCCAATGTCCCCAATGTCCTCCATCTTCTTATTGTCCCCAAGCCCCTCAATGTCCCCAACGTCTCCAATGTCCCCAAATGTCCCCAATACCTCCAATGTCCCCAACGCCCCCAATGCCCCCAACGCCCTCAATGTCCCCAATGTCCCCAATGTCCCCAATGTCCCCAACGTCCCCAACGCCCCAACGTCCCCAATGCCCCCAACGCCCCCAATGCGCCCAACATCCCCAATGTCCCCCCAAGCCCCTCAATGTCCCCAACGTCCCCAACGTCCCCAACGTCCCCAAACCTGCGTAGGCGCCCAGGCACTGGCACAGCACCCCCAGGGGCAGCAGAGGGTCCAGCAGGGTCAGGAGGCGCGAGGGCGACGCGGCCGCCTGGACCAACGTCACCGGGTAGGCGGCCAGCACGGCCTGGGGGACGCGCACGCCCAGGGCCACCGCCCGCAGGGACACCCCCAGGCACAGGTTGCCACCCGCGCTGTCACCCGCCAGGCAGACGCGCTCCGCCGTCGAGCCTGGGGACGGTTTTGGGGAGAAATGGGGAAAATTGGGTGAAAATCGGAGGAAAAATGGCGGAAAATTGGCAGAAAATTGGGGGAAATGGGATTTGGGGAAATTGGGGACATTGGGGACATTGGGGACATTGAGGGGCTTGGGGACATTGAGAAGATGGAGGACATTGGGGACATTGGGGATAATGGGAAAAAATGGGAGAAAAATGGGAAAAAATGGCATTGGGGACATTGGGGACATTGGGGACATTCGGGGACATTGGGGACATTGGGAAGAAATGGGGGAAAATTGGGAAAAAATGGGTTTGGGACATTGGGGACATTGGGGACAATGGGGACATTGGGGACATTGAGCAAAAATGGGGAACAATGGGAAAAAATGGGAGAAAATTGGGAAAAATGGGATTGGGGACATTGGGGACATTGGGGACATTGGGGACATTGAGCAAAAATGGGGAAAAATGGGGGAAAATTGGGAAAAATGGGATTGGGGACATTGGGGACATTGAGGACATTGAGGACACTGAGGCTCAATGAGAACATTGGTATAAAATGGGGACAAACTGGGGAAATTTGGGACCAAATGGGGACATATGGGGACATTTGGGGACGCGGGGGCGACGCGGCCGCCTGGACCAACGTCACCGGGTAGGCGGCCAGCACGGCCTGGGGGACGCGCACGCCCAGGGCCACCGCCCGCAGGGACACCCCCAGGCACAGGTTGCCACCCGCGCTGTCACCCGCCAGGCAGACGCGCTCCGCCGTCGAGCCTGGGCACGGTTTCGGGGAAAAAAAGTGAAAATTGGGTGAAAATCGGAGGAAAAATGGCGGAAAATTGGGGGAAATGGGTTTGGGGACATTGGGGACATTGAGGACCTTGAGGACATTGGGGACATTGGGGACATTGAGAAGATGGAGAAGATTGGGGACATTGGGGATATTGGGAAAATATTGGAGAGAAATGGTAAAAATGGGTTTGGTGACATTGGGGACATTGGGGACATTGGGGACATTGGGAAAAAATGGGTGGAAAAAGGGAAAAAATGGGATTGGGGACATTGGGGACATTGAGGACGTTGGGGACATTGGGGACATTGGGGACATTGAGCAAAAATGGGGAACAATGGGAAAAAATGGGGGAAAATTGGGAAAAATGAGAGTGGGGACATTGGGGACATTGGGGACATTGGGGACATTGAGCAAAAATGGGAAAGAATGGGAAAAAATGGGGGAAAATTGGGAAAAATGGGATTGGGGACATTGGGGACATTGAGGAGCTTGAGGACACTGAGGCTCACTGGGGACATTGGTATAAAATGGGGACAAACTGGGGAAATTTGGGACCAAATGGGGACATTTGGGGACATTTGGGGACGCGGGGGCGACGCGGCCGCCTGGACCAACGTCACCGGGTAGGCGGCCAGCACGGCCTGGGGGACGCGCACGCCCAGGGCCACCGCCCGCAGGGACACCCCCAGGCACAGGTTGCCACCCGCGCTGTCACCCGCCAGGCAGACGCGCTCCGCCGTCGAGCCTGGGCACGGTTTTGGGGAGAAACGGGGAAAATTTGGTGAAAATCGGAGGAAAAATGGCGGAAAATTGGCAGAAAATTGGGGGAAATGGGATTTGGGGACATTGGGGACATTGGGGACATTGGGGACATTGGGGACATTGGGGACATTGGGAAAAAATGGGTGGAAAAAGGGAAAAAATGGGTTGGGGACATTGGGGACATTGGGTACAATGTCGGGATTTGGGGACATTGGAGGTATTGGGGACATTGGGAAAAAATGGGAGAAAAATGGGAAAAATGGGATTGGGGACATTGGGGACATTGGGGACATTGAGGGGCTTGGAGACATTGAGAAGATGGAGGACATTGGGGACATTGGGGATATTGGGAAAATATTGGAGAAAAATGGTAAAAATGGGATTGGAGACATTTGGGACACTGGGGACATTGAGGGGATTGGGGATTCTGAGAAAAAATGGGAGAAAAATGGGAAAAAATGGGATTGGGGACATTGGGGACATTGGGGACAATGACGGGGTTTGGGGACATTGGGGGTATTGGGGTCATTTGAGGGCAATGGGAAAAAATGGGGGGAAAATGGGAAAAATGGGATTGGGGACATTGGGGACATTGGGGACAATGGGAAAAAATGGGTGGAAAAAGGGAAAAAATGGGATTGGGGACATTGGGGACATTGAGGAGCTTGAGGACACTGAGCCTCACTGGTGACATTGGTATAAAACGGGGACAAACTGGGGAAATTTGGGACCAAACGGGGACATTTGGGGACATTTGGGGACGCGGGGGCGACGCGGCCGCCTGGACCAACGTCACCGGGTCGGCGGCCAGCACGGCCTGGGGGACGCGCACGCCCAGGGCCACCGCCCGCAGGGACACCCCCAGGCACAGGTTGCCACCCGCGCTGTCACCCGCCAGGCAGACGCGCTCCGCCGTCGAGCCTGGGCACGGTTTTGGGGAGAAACGGTGAAAATTGGGTGAAATTCGGAGGAAAAATGGCGGAAAATTGGGAGAAATGGGTTTTGGGGACATTGGGGACATTTGGGGACATTGGGGACATTGAGGGTCAAGAGGACATTGAGAAGATGGAGGACATTGAGGACATTGGGAAAAATGGGTGGAAAAAGGGAAAAAATGGGATTTGGGGACATTGGGGACATTGAGAAGATGGCGGACATTGGGGACATTGGGGACATTGGGGACACTTGGGACATTGGGAAAAAATGGGTGGAAAAAGGGAAAAAATGGGATTGGGGACATTGGGGACATTGAGGACATTGGGGACATTGGGGACATTGGGGACATTGGGACATTGGAGACATTGGGAAAAAATGGGTGGAAAAAGGGGAAAAAATGGGATTGGGGACATTGGGGACATTGAGGACATTGGGGACATTGGGGACATTGGGAAAAAATTGGTGGAAAAAGGGAAAAAATGGGATTGGGGACATTGGGGACATTGGGGACAATGGGGACATTGGGGACATTGGAGACATTGAGCAAAAATGGGGAACAATGGGAAAAATGGGGGAAAATTGGGAAAAATGGGTTGGGGACATTGGGGACATTGAGGACATTGAGGACACTGAGGCTCACTGGTGACATTGGTATAAAATGGGGACAAACTGGGGAAATTTGGGATCAAATGGGGACATTTGGGGACATTTGGGGACGCGGGGGCGACGCGGCCGCCTGGACCAACGTCACCGGGTCGGCGGCCAGCACGGCCTGGGGGACGCGCACGCCCAGGGCCACCGCCCGCAGGGACACCCCCAGGCACAGGTTGCCACCCGCGCTGTCACCCGCCAGGCAGACGCGCTCCGCCGTCGAGCCTGGGCACGGTTTCGGGGAGAAACGGCGAAAATTCGGTGAAAATCGGGCGAAAAATGGCGGAAAATTGGGAAAAATGGGTTTGGGGACATTGGGGACATTGGGGACATTGGGGACATTGGGGACATTGAGGGTCAAGAAGACATGGAGAAGATGGAGAAGATTGGGGACATTGGGGACATTGGGAAAAAATGGGAGAAAAATGGGCAAAATGGGATTGGGGACATTAAGGACATTGGGGACATTGATGGGATTGGGGATATTGAGAAAAAATGGGAGAAAAATGGGAAAAAATGGCATTGGGGACATTGGGGACATTGGGGACATTGAGGACATTGGGGACATTGGGGACATTGGGGACATTGAGCAAAAATGGGGAACAATGGGAAAAAATGGGTGAAAAAGGGAAAAAATGGGATTTGGGGACATTTGGGGACATTGGGGACATTGGGCACATTGGGGACATTGAGCAAAAATGGGGAACAATGGGAAAAAATGGGGGAAAATTGGGAAAAATGGGATTGGGGACATTGGGGACATTGAGGAGTTTGAGGACACTGAGGCTCAATGGGGACATTGGGATAAAATGGGGACAAACTGGGGAAATTTGGGACAAAATGGGGACATTTGGGGACATTTGGGGACGCGGGGGCGACGCGGCCGCCTGGACCAACGTCACCGGGGCGGCGGCCAGCACGGCCTGGGGGACGCGCACGCCCAGGGCCACCGCCCGCAGGGACACCCCCAGGCACAGGTTGCCACCCGCGCTGTCACCCGCCAGGCAGACGCGCTCCGCCGTCGAGCCTGGGCACGGTTTCGGGGAGAAACGGGGAAAATTGGGTGAAAATCGGAGGAAAAATGGCGGAAAATTGGGGGAAAATTGGGGGAAATGGGATTTGGGGACATTGGGGACATTGGGGACATTGAGGGTCAAGAGGACATTGAGAAGATGGAGAAGATTGGGAACATTGGAGACATTGGGGGCATTGGGAAAAAATGGGTGGAAAATGGGACAAAATGGGTTGGGGACATTGGGGACATTGGGGACATTGGGGACATTGAGGACATTGGGGACATTGGGGACATTGGGGACATTTAGGCCATTGGGAAAAAATGGGTGGAAAAAGGGAAAAAATGGGATTGGGGACATTGGGGACATTGGGGACATTGAGCAAAAATGGGGAACAATGGGAAAAAATGGGGGAAAAATGGGAAAAATGGGATTGGGGACATTGGGGACACTGGGGACATTGGGGACATTGGGGACATTGGGGACATTGAGCAAAAATGGGGAACAATGGGAAAAATGGGGAAAAATTGGGAAAAATGGGACTGGGGACATTGGGGACATTGGGGACATTGGGGACATTGAGGGTCAAGAGGACATTGAGAAGATGGAGGACATGGGGACATTGGAGGTATTGGGGACATTGGGGACATTGGGAAAAAATGGGAGAAAAATGGGAAAAAATGGATTGGGGACATTGGGGACATTGGGGACATTGGGGACATTGGGGACATTGGGGACACTGGAGACACTGGGGACATTTGAGGACATTGGGAAAAAATGGGTGGAAAATGGGAAAAAATGGCATTGGAAACATTGGGGACGTTGGGGACATTGGGGACATTGGGGACATTGAGCAAAAATGGGGAAAAATGGGAAAAATGAGGGAAAATCGGGAAAAATGGGATTGGGGACATTGGGGACATTGGGGACATTGGGGACATTAGGGATATTGGGAAAAAATGGGAGTAAAATGGGAAAAAATGGGATTGGGGACATTGGGGACATTGGGGACAATGATGGGATTTGGGGACATTGAGAAGATGGAGGACATTGGGGACATTGGGGACATTGGGAAAAAATGGGTGGAAAAAGGGAAAAAATGGGATTGGAGATATTGGGGACATTGGGGACATTGGGGACATTGGGGACATTGGGGACATTGGGGACATTGGGAAAAAATGGGTGGAAAAAGGGAAAAAATGGGATTGGGGACATTGGGGACATTGAGGACATTGGGGACATCGGGGACATTGAGCAAAAATGGGGAACAATGGGAAAAAATGGGCGGAAAAAGGGAAAAATGGGATTGGGGACATTGGGGACATTGGGGACATTGAGGAGCTCGAGGACACTGAGGCTCAACGGGGACATTGGTATAAAATGGGGACAAACTGGGGAAATTTGGGATCAAATGGGGACATTTGGGGACATTCGGGGACACGAGGGCGACGCGGCCGCCTGGACCAACGTCACCGGGTCGGCGGCCAGCACGGCCTGGGGGACGCGCACGCCCAGGGCCACCGCCCGCAGGGACACCCCCAGGCACAGGTTGCCACCCGCGCTGTCACCCGCCAGGCAGACGCGCTCCGCCGTCGAGCCTGGGCACGGTTTTGGGGAGAAACGGTGAAAATTGGGTGAAATTCGGCGGAAAAATGGGAGGGAAAATGAGAAAAATGGGATTTGGGGACATTGGGGACATTGGGGACATTGGGGACATTGGGGACATTGAGGATCTTGAGGACATTGGAGACATTGGGGACATTGGGGACATTGAGGGGCTTGAGGACATTGAGAAGATGGAGGACATTGAGGATATTGGGGACATTTGGGACATCAGGAAAAAATGGGTGGAAAAAGGGAAAAAATGGGATTGGGGACATTGGGGACATTGGGGACATTGGGGACATTGGGGGAATTGGGGACATTGGGGACATTGGGAAAAAATGGGTGGAAAAAGGGAAAAAATGGGATTGGGGATATTGGGGACATTGAGGACATTGGGGACATTGATGGGATTGGGGATATTGGGAAAAAATGGGAGAAAAATGGGAAAAATGGGATTGGGGACATTGGGGACATTGGGGACATTGAGCAAAAATGGGGAACAATGGGAAAAAATGGGGGAAAATTGGGAAAAATGGGATTGGGGACATTGGGGACATTGAGGAGCTTGAGGACACTGAGGCTCAATGGGGACATTGGTATAAAACGGGGACAAACTGGGGAAATTTGGGACCAAATGGGGACATTTGGGGACATTTGGGGACGCGGGGGCGACGCGGCCGCCTGGACCAACGTCACCGGGTCGGCGGCCAGCACGGCCTGGGGGACGCGCACGCCCAGGGCCACCGCCCGCAGGGACACCCCCAGGCACAGGTTGCCACCCGCGCTGTCACCCGCCAGGCAGACGCGCTCCGCCGTCGAGCCTGGGCACGGTTTCGGGGAGAAATGGTGAAAATTGGGTGAAATTCGGAGGAAAAATGGGAGGGAAAATGAGAAAAATGGGATTTGGGGACATTTGGGGACATTGGGGACATTGGGGACATTGAGGGTCAAGAGGACATTGAGAAGATGGAGAAGATTGGGGACATTGGGGACATTGGGGACATTGGTAAAAAATGGGTGGAAAAAGGGAAAAAATGGGATTGGGGACATTGGGGACATTGGGGATATTGGGGACATTGGGGACATTGGGAAAAAATGGGTGTAAAAAGGGAAAAAATGGGATTGGGGACATTGGGGACATTGGGGACATTGGGGACATTGGCGACATTGAGCAAAAATGGGGAACAATGGGAAAAAATGGGAGAAAAAATGGAAAAAATGGGACTGGGGACATTGAGGACATTGGGGACATTGGGGACATTGGGGACATTGAGCAAAAAAGGGGAACAATGGGAAAAAATGGGGAAAATTGGGAAAAATGGGACTGGGGACATTGGGGATATTGAGAAAAAATGGGAGAAAAATGGGAAAAACTGGGTTGGGGACATTGGGGACACTGGGGACATTGAGGACACTGGGAAAAAATGGGGAGCAATGGGAAAAAATGGGAAAAAAATGGGAAAAATGGGATTGGGGATATTGGGGACATTGGGGACATTGACAGGATTTGGGGACATTGGGGACATTGGGGACATTGAGAAAAAATGGGAGAAAAATGGGAAAAATGGGATTGGGGACATTGGGGACATTGGGGACATTGGGGACATTGGGGACATTTGGGGACATTTGAGGACATTGGGATAAAATGGGAGGAAAATGGGAAAAATGGGATGGGGGTCATTCCTGTCCACTTTTAACCCCTTCTTTACCACATTTAACCCCCAAAAACCCCCCAATATTCACCCAAAACCCACCCAAAACCCCCAAAATCCCCCCAAAAACCCCCAAAACCCCCGAAATTTTTGGGGTACACCCACCCAACATCCTGCAGTGCCTCAGGGCCCAGCAGTAGGCGTAGAAACATTCCTCCAGAGCTCGAGGGAAGGGCGCCTCGGGGGCCAGAGCGTAATCCACCGAGAGGATGGGGGTCCCCAAATCCCGAGCCCACCCCCTCAAATAGGGCTCGTGGGAGCGCGAGGTCTGAGCCACGAATCCGCCGCCGTGGAAATGCACCAGGAGCCCCGGGCTGGGGGGCAGGGGGGGACCCCGGCGCCAGGAAAATGGGGAGGGGGTCCAGGGACCCCCGTCCTGACGGCTCAGGGCGCTCAGAGCTGCTGAATCCTAAAAAAATGGGAAAAAATGTGAAAAAAATGATAAAATTCACCTAAAATTCAGCAAAAATTCGCTCAAAATTGGCCAAGAATTGACCCAAAATTCAGCAAAAATTTGCTCAAAATTGGCCAAGAATTGACCCACAATTCACCAAAAATTCACCCAAAATTCACCCCAAATTCATCCAAAATTTGAACAAAATCTGAACAAAATTTGCACCAATTCAAATGAAAGTCACCCAAATTCATCCCAAATTCATCCCAAATTCATCCCAAATTCACATGAAAGTCACCCAAAAGTCACCCCAAAGTCATCCCAATATCGCATGAAAATCATCCCAAATTTATCCCAAATTTACCCCAAATTCACATGAAAGTCACCCAAAAGTCACCCCAAATTCATCCCAATATCGCATGAAAATCATCCCAAATTTATCCAAAATTCATCCCAAATTCATCCCAAATTCACATGAAAGTTACCCAAAAGTCACCCCAAATTCATCCCAAATTCACCCCAAATTCTCCCTAAATTCACACAGAATCCCCCCAGAATTCAGCCAAAATCCCTCCAAATCCACCCAAAATCCTGTCATGATTTGGGTGAATTTTGGCTGAATTTTTGCCAAATTTTTGCTGAATTTTGGGTGTATTTTGGCTGAATTTTTGCTGAATTTTGGCTGAATTTTGGGTGAATTTTTGCTGAATTTTGGGTGAATTTTGCCGAATTTTTGCTGAATTTTTGCTGAATTTTGGGTGAATTTTTGCTGAATTTTGGGTGAATTTTGGGCCCCCAAGCCCCCCCGGCAGTGGCCCAGGAGCCCCGGGCTGGGGGGCAGGGGGGGACCCCGGCGCCAGGAAAATGGGGAGGGGGTCCAGGGACCCCCGTCCTGACGGCTCAGGGCGCTCAGAGCTGCTGAATCCTGGAAAAAGGAGAAAAAATGGTGAAAAATGGAAAAAAAATGGGGAAAATCGGCTGAAAATTGATCAAAAAGTCAGCAAAAATTCGCTCAAAATTGACCCAGAATTGACCCAGAATTGAGTAAAAATTCGCTCAAAATTGGCCAAGAATTGACCCAGAATTGAGTAAAAATTCACCCAAAATTCATCCCAAATTTATTCCAAATTCATCCAAAATTCACCCTAAATTAATCTGAAATGAATCCAAAATTTGAACAAAATTCACTCAAAGTCACATGAAAGTCAACCAAATTTGTCCAAAAGTCACCCAGAATTCAGCCCAAATTCATCCCAAATTTACCCCAAATTCACATGAAAGTCACTCAGAAGTCGCCCCAAATTCATCCCAAATTCATCCCAAATTCACCTCAAATTCACATGAAAGTCACCCAAAAGTCACTACTAATTCATCCCAATATCGCATGAAAATTATCCCAAATTTATCCCAAATTCATCCAAAATTCATCCCAAATTCACCCCAAATTCATCCCAATATTGCATGAAAATCATCCCAAATTTATCCCAAATTCACCCCAAATTCACACGAAAGTCACCCAAAAGTCACCCCAAATTCACCCCAAATTCTCCCTAAATTCACACAGAATTCCCCCAGAATTCAGCCAAAATCCCTCTGAATCCACCCAAAATCCTGTCACGATTTGGGTGAATTTTGGCTGAATTTTTGCCGAATTTTTGCTGAATTTTTGCTGAATTTTGGCTGAATTTTTGCTGAATTTTTGCTGAATTTTGGGTGAATTTTGGGTGAATTTTGGGTGTATTTTGGGTGAATTTTGGGTGTATTTTGGGTGTATTTTGGGTGAATTTTGGGCCCCCAAGCCCCCCCTGGCAGTGCACCAGGAGCCCCGGGCTGGGGGGCAGGGGGGGACCCCGGCGCCAGGAAAATGGGGAGGGGGTCCAGGGACCCCCGTCCTGTCGGCTCAGGGCGCTTAGAGCGGCTGAATCCTGAAAAAATGGGAAAAAAATGGGGAAAATTAGAAAAAATCCGCATGAAATTGACCCAAAATTGACCCAAAATTGACCCAGAATTCAGTAGAAATTCACCCCAAATTCATCCTAAATTCACCCCAAATTCATCCCAAATTCATCCCAAATTCACCCTAAATTAATCTGAAATTAATCCAAAATTTGAACAAAATTCACTCAAAGTCACATGGAAGTCAACCAAATTTGTCCAAAAGTCACCCAGAATTCATCCCAAATTCACTCCGAATTCACATGAAAGTCACTCAAAAGTCACTCCAAATTCACCCGAAATTCTCCTTAAATTCACCCCAAAATGCATCCCAAAATTCACCCCAAATTCACATGAAAGTCACCCAAAAGTCACCCAAAAGTCACCCAAATTCATCCAAAATTCAACCTAAATTAATCCAAAATTCATGGAAAAAAATCCACAAAAAATCCCTGAAAAAATCCCCAAAAATGCAAAAAAACTCAATAAAATTCCCCAAAAAATCCCAAAAAATCCCCCAAAAAAATCCCAAAAATTTCCAAAAAGTCCCAAAACATCCATGAAAAAAATCCCCAAAAGTCCTGAAAAAAATCCACAAAGTCACTGAAAAAAATCCCCAAAAATGCAAAAAAAATCCAATAAAATTCCCCCAAAAAATCAGAAAAAATCCCAAAAAAATCCCTAAAAAATCCCAGACAATCCCTGACAAAACTCCCAAAAGCCCTGAAAAAAATTCACAAAAAATCCCTGAAAAAATCCTCAAAAATGCAAAAAATCCCCCAAAAAATCCCAAATAATCCCTAAAAATTCCCAAAAATTCCCAAAAAATCCCCAAAAATTCCCAAAAATAGAGCAAAAATTTAGCCTAAAAATGGACAAAGAATGGCCAAAAATGGGGGAAAAAATACCAAAAAAATCACAAAAAATTCAATTTATACCCCATTTTCACCCCCAAAAATCCCATTTAAATGGCTCAAATGTTGAGGAAATGTTCCCAAATTTTCCCAATTTTCCCGAAATTCCCGAATTTCCCACCTGTCCCTGCCGCAGGTGGTAGGAGAGCAGCCGCAGGCGCAGCAGGGCCCAAATGCCCCCATTGGAACACCCAAAATAGCCCCAAAAATCCCAAAATTCCCCAAAATATCCAATAAAATCCCCCAAAAAAAGAACTCCAAAATCCTGAAAAAAATTCTGAAAAAATCCCAAAAAAATCCCCAAAAATATGCAATAAAATTCCCCAAAAAATCAGAAAAAATCCCAAAAAAATCCTAAAAAAATCCCAAAAAATTCAGAAAAAATCCCAAAAAATGCATGAAAAATTCCCCAAAAATCCTGAAAAAAAATCCACAAAAAATCCCTGAAAAATATCCCTAAAAATGCAAAAAAATCCAATAAAATCCCCAAAAAATCAGAAAAAATGCCAAAAAATTCCCAAAAAATCCCCAAAAATTTAAAAAAAATTCCGAAAAAATCCCCAAAAAATTCCCAAAAAATTCTCAAAAATTCCCAAAAATTAGAACAAAAGTTTAGCCAAAAATGGGCAAAAAATCGACAAAGAATGGCTAAAAATGGGGGAAAAAATAGCAAAAAAATCACAAAAAATTCAATTTAAACCCCATTTTAACCCCGAAAAATCCCATTTAAACGGCTCAAATCTTCTCCAAACCTCCCGAAATTCCCAAAATTCCCAAATTTTCCCGAAACCCGACCTGTCCCTGCCGCAGGTGGTAGGAGAGCAGGCGCAGGTGCAGCGGGGCCCAAACGCCCCCATTGGAACACCCAAAAACTCCCCCAAAAAAATCCCAAAAAATCCTGAAAAAATCCCTGAAAAATTCACAAAAAATCCGCAAAAAATCTTGACAAATATCCTGAAAAAAATCACCAAAAAATCCCTGAAAAAAATCCCTAAAAATGCAAAAAAAGCCATTAAAATTCCAAAAAACTAAAAAAAAATCCAAAAAAATCCCAAAAAAAATCCCAAAAAATTCCCAAAAAAATCAGAAAAAATCCCAAAAAAATCAGAAAAAATCCCAAAAAGTCCTGAAAAAAAATCCACAAAAAATCCCTGAAAAAATCCCCAAAAATGCAAAAAAACTCAATAAAATTCCCAAAAAAATCAGAAAAAATGCCAAAAAATTCCCAAAAAATCCCAAAAAATTAAAAAAAAATTCTGAAAAAATCCCCAAAAAATTCCCAAAAAATTCTCAAAAATTCCCAAAAATTAGAACAAAAGTTTAGCACAAAAATGGGCCAAAAAATGGCCAAAAATGGGTCAAAAAATCGAAAAAATTCAATTTAAATCCCATTTTAACCCTGAAAAATCCCATTTAAACCCCTCAAACGTTGAGGAAATGTTCCCAAATTTTCCCGGAATTCCCAAATTTTCCCGAAATCCGACCTGTCCCTGCCGCAGGTGGTAGGAGAGCAGCCGCAGGTGCAGCGGGGCGGGGCCCAGGTGAGCCCCGGGGGGGGCGACAGTGACGCTGCGCGAGGGGTCCCGGGCCAGGGGCAGCTCCAGGGGCTCGGGGGGCACGGCCAGGGCGCGGCACAGCCCCACCTGCACGGCCGTCAGCGACGCCACCGACTGCGGAGAGAGGAGAAAATGGGATAAATCCCAAAAAAATCCCAAAAATTTTACCCCAAAATGCGAAGAAATGGCGAAAAAATGACGAAAAACGGTGAAAAAACAGCGAAAAACGGTGAAAAAACGGGCTCAAAATCCTTCAAAAATCCCCAAAGAAAGGGATTTAGGATCCTGAAAATCCCCCCAAAAATCTCCCAAAATATCCCAAAAAAATCCCCAAAGTTTGACACCAAAATGCGAAGAAATGGCGAAAAAACGATGAAAAACGGTGAAAAAACGACGAAAAATGGTGAAAAAATGTCCACAAAAGGGATTTAGGATCCCACAAATCCCAAAGAAAGGGAAATTTCCAAATCCCAGATTATCCCAAAAAAATCCCGAAGATTTGGTGCGAAAAGGTGAAAAAACGGCGAAAAACGGTGAAGAAATGACGAAAAACGGTGAAAGAACGGGCTCAAAATGCCTCAAAATGCTTCCAAAATACCCAAAGAAAGGGATTTAGGATCCTGAAAATCCCCAAAAAAATCCCCCACAATATCCCAAAAGAATCCTGAAGGTTTTGTTCAAAAATGTGAAAAAACGGCGAAAAAACGACGAGAAATGGCGAAAAAACGACGAAAAACGGTGGAAAAACGATGAAAAACGGTGGAAAAATCTCCACCAAAGGGATTTAGGATCCCAAAAATCCCAAAAAACGGGATTTAGGATCCTGAAATTTCCAAATCCCAAAAAAATCCCAAAAATCCCAAAAATCCCAAAATCCACCCCAAAAATCCGCAGCGAAAGCCCCAAAAGTGCTCGAGGGGCTCGGGGGGCACGGCCAGGGCGCGGCACAGCCCCACCTGCACGGCCGTCAGCGAGGCCACCGACTGCGGAGAGAGGGAAAAATGGGATTAATCCCAAAAAAATCCCAAAAATTTTACCCCAAAATGCGAAGAAACGGCGAAAAAACGACGAAAAGCGGCGAAAAAACGATGAAAAGCGGCGAAAAAACGGCGAAAAACGGTGAAAAAACGGGCTCAGAAGGCGAAAAAATGTCCACAAAAGGGATTTAGGATCCCACAAATCCCAAATAAAGGGAAATTTCCAAATCCCAAAATATCCCAAAAAAATTCCGAAGGTTTTACCCCAAAACATGAAGAAACGGCGAAAAAACGACGAAAAACGGTGAAAAAACGGGCTCAAAATGCCTCAAAATCCTTCCAAAATTTCCAAAAAAGGGATTTAGGATCCCAAAAATCCCAAAGTCCCAAAGAAAGGGAATTAGGATCCTGAAATTTCCAAATCCCAAAAAAATCCCAAAAATCCCAAAAAAATCCCAAAAATTTTAGCCTAAAATCGTGAAAAACGGTGAAAAAACGACAATAAACGGTGAAGAAATGATGAAAAACGGTGAAAAAACGGGCTCAGAATCCTTCCAAAATCCCCAAAACAAGGGATTTAGGATCCCAAAAATGCCAAAGAAAGGGATTTAGGATCCTGAAAAATCCCCCAAAAAATCCCCGAAAATATCCCAAAAAAATCCCCAAAGTTTGACACCAAAATGCAAAGACATGGCAAAAAAACGACAAAAAACGGTGAAAAAACGGGCTCAGAATGCGAAAAAATGTCCACAAAAGGGGTTTAGGATCCCAAAAATCCCAAAAAAAGGGATTTAGGATTCTGAAATTTCCAAATCCCAAAAAATCCCAAAAACATCCCAAAAAATCCCAAAGTTCTTACCCATATCTGAAAAAAAAGGAGGGGTTTTGGGTATTTTTGGGTTTTTTTGTGGTCCTGAGTCACTTTTTGGGGTTTTTGGGGATATTTTGGGTTTTTTTGGGGTCCTGAGTCACTTTTTGGGGGATTTTGAGGAGTTTTTTGGGGTTCCAAGTCAGTTTTTGGGGATTTTTTGGGGTATTTTGGGGTTTTTTTGTGGTCCCAAGTCAGTTTTTGGGGTTTTTTTGGGGTCCTGGGTCAGTTTTTGGGGTCCCAAGGCGTTTTTTTGGGATACCAAAGCATTTTTTGGGTTTTTTTAGGGTATTTTGGGGGTAGTTTTTTGAATCCTGAGTAATTTTTGGATTTTTTTTGGGATCTCAAGTCAGTTTTTTGGGTTTTTCTGGGGTACTGAGGCCATTTTGGGGTTTTTTTTGGGTATTTTTGGGGTTTTTTTGAAGTTCCAAGTCTGTTTTGTGGGTTTTTTTGGGGTCCTGAGTCACTTTTTGGGGTTTTTTTGGTGTTTTTGAGGCGATTTTGGGTCCCAAGTCACTTCTTGGGGTTTTTGTCGGGGATATTTTGGTTTTTTTGGGGTCCTGAGTCGGTTTTTTGGGATCCCGAGCTGTTTTTTTGGGGATATTTTGGGTTTTTTGGGGTCCTGAGTTGGTTTTTTGGGATCCCGAGCTGTTTTTTTGGGGATATTTTGGGTTTTTTGGGGTCCTGAGTTGGTTTTTTGGGGTCCCGAGTCAGTTTTTTGGGGTTTTTTGGGGTTTTTTGGGTTCTGACCGCCAGCAGCTCGGTCTCGATGAGGTTCCAGAAGCTCAAGGTGAGATTTTGGTGCATTTTTATGGGATTTTGGTGCCATTTTATGGCATTTTTCCGATGGTTTTGGGGGTATTTTGGGTTTTTTGGGGTCCTGAGTCAGTTTTTTGGGTTTTTTTTGTTTTTTGGGTACCCGAGCCAGTTTTTGGGGTTTTTTAGGGTCCCAAGTCAGTTTTTGGGGATTTTTGAGGAGTTTTTTGGGGTTCCAAGTCAGTTTTTGGGGATTTTTTGGGTATTTGGGGGTTTTTTTGTGGTCCCAAGTCACTTTTTGGGGTTTTTTTGGGGTCCTGGGTCAGTTTTTGGGGTCCCAAGTCGGTTTTTTGTGTCTTTTTGGGATACCAAAGCGTTTTTTGGGGTATTTTGGGGGTATTTTTTTGAATCCTGAGTAATTTTGGGGTTTTTTTGGGATCTCAAGTCAGTTTTTCGGGTTTTTTTGAATACTGAGGCAATTTTTGGGGTTTTTTTGGGTATTTTTGGGGTTTTTTTGGGGTCCCGAGTCAGTTTTTGGGGATTTTTTGGGGTCCCAAGTCAGTTTTGGGGTGTTTTTTGGGGATTTTTGGGGGTTTTTTCAGGTTCCAAGTCTGTTTTGTGGGTTTTTTAGGGTCCTGAGTCACTTTTTGGGGTTTTTTTGGGGTTTTTGAGGAGTTTTTTGGGGTCCTGAATCACTTTTTGGGGTTTTTTTGGGGTATTTTTGGGTTTTTTTGGGGTCCTGAGCTATTTTTTTTGGGTTTTTTGGGGTTTTTTTGGGGTCCCGGGTCAGTTTTTGGGGTCCCAAGGCGTTTTTTTGGGGTTTTGTGGTCCCAAGTCGATTATTTGGGCTTTTTGGGGTTACCAAAGCTTTTTTTGGGGTATTTTGGGGGTATTTTTTTGAATCCTGAGTAATTTTGGGGTTTTTTTGGGATCTCAAGTCAGTTTTTTTGGTTTTTTGGGGATACTGAGGCAATTTTTGGGGTTTTTTTGGTCTTTTTGGGGTTTTTTTGTGGTCCCAAGTCACATTTTTGGGGTTTTTTTGTGGTCCCGAGTCACTTTTTGGGGTTTTTTTGGGGTCCTGAGTCAGTTTTTTGGGGTATTTTTGGGGTTTTTTTGGGTTTTTTTTGTTTTTTGGGGTATTTTTGGGGTTTTTGGGGTTCTGACCGCCAGCAGCTCGGTCTCGATGAGGTTCCAGAAGCTCAAGGTGAGATTTTGGTGCATTTTTATGGGATTTTGGTGCATTTTTATGGGATTTTGGTGCCATTTTATGGGATTTTGGTGCATTTTTATGGGATTTTGGTGTCATTTTTATGGGATTTTGGTGCATTTTATGGGATTTTGGTGCCATTTTATGGCATTTTTCTGATGGTTTTGGGGGTATTTGGGGTTTTTTGGGGTCCTGAGTCGGTTTTTTGGGGTCCCGAGTAATTTTTGGGGTTTTTGTGGTCCCAAATCACAAATCAGTTTTTAGAGGTTTTTTGGGGTTTTTTTTGGGGGTAATGAGTCAATTTTTTTGTTTTTTTGTGGTCCCGAGTCAGTTTTTGGGTTTTTTTTTAGGGTCCCGAGTCAGTTTTTTGGGGTTTTTTTTGTTTTCTGGGGTACCCGAGCCAGTTTTTGGGGTTTTTTTAGGGTTCCAAGTCAGTTTTTGGGGATTTATGAGGAGTGTTTTTGGGGTCCCAAGTCAGTTTTTGGGGTTTTTTGGGGGGATTTTTGGGGTTTTTTGTGGTCCCGAGTCACTTTTTGGGATTTTTGGGGTATTTTGGGGGTTTTTGGGGTCCTGAGTCAGTTTCTGGGAATTTTGGAGGAGTTTTTTGGGGTCCCAAGTCAGTTTTGGGGGTTTTTTTGGGGTATTTTGGGGTTTTTTGGGGTTTTTTGTGGTCATGAGTCACTTTTTGGGATTTTTGGGGGTCTCGAGCTGTTTTTTGGGGGTTTTGGGGGGTTTTTTTTGGGGTTTTTTGGGGTCCTGAGTTGGTTTTGGGGGATTTTGAGGAGTTTTTTGGGGTTCCAAGTCAGTTTTTGGGGTTTTTGGGGGGGATTTTTTGGGTTTTTTGTGGTCCTAAGTCACTTTTTTGGGGTTTTTTGGGGTCCCGAGTCACTTTTTAGGGTTTTTTTGGGGTCTCGAGCTGTTTTTTTGGGGATATTTTGGGTTTTTTGGGGTCCTGAGTCGGTTTTTTGGGGTCCCGAGCTGTTTTTTTGGGATTTTTGGGGTTTTTTGGGGTTCTGACCGCCAGCAGCTCGGTCTCGGTGAGGTTCCAGAAGCTCAAGGTGAGATTTTGGTGTCATTTTATGGGATTTTGGTGTCATTTTATGGGATTTTGGTGTCATTTTTATGGGATTTTGGTGCCATTTTATGGCATTTTTCTGATGGTTTTGGGGGTATTTTGGGTTTTTTGGGGTCCTGAGTCGGTTTTTTTGGGGTCCCGAGTAATTTTTGGGGTTTTTGTGGTCCCAAATCACAAATCAGTTTTTGGGATTTTTTTGGGGGGGTTTTTGGGGATAATGAGTCAATTTTTGGGGGTTTTTTGGGATCCCGAGTGAGTTTTTTGGTTTTTAGGGTTTTTTGGGGTCCCATGTCATTTTTTGGGTTTTTTGGGGGGGTCTTGAGTCAGTTTTTTGGGATTTCGGAGGAGTTTTTTTGGGTTCCAAGTCACTTTTTGGGGTTTTTTTGGGTAATTTTTGGGGTTTTTTGGGTTTTTTTGGGGTTTTTTGGGGTCCCGAGTCAGTTTTTTGGGGTATTTTTGGGGTTTTTTGGGGTTCTGACCGCCAGCAGCTCGGTCTCGGTGAGGTTCCAGAAGCTCAAGGTGAGATTTTGGTGTCATTTTATGAGATTTTGGTGCATTTTATGGGATTTTGGTGCCAATTTATGGCATTTTTCCGATGGTTTGGGGGGTATTTTTGGGGTTTTTTTGGGGTCCTGAGTCAGTTTTTTGGTTTTTAGGGTTTTTTGAGGTCCCATGTCAGTTTTTGGGTTTTTTGAGGAGGTCCTGAGTCAGTTTTTGGGGATTTTTGAGGAGTTTTTTGTGGTCCCAAGTCAGTTTTTTGGCCTTTTTTGGGATACCAAAGCATTTTTTGGGGATTTTTAGGGTATTTTGGGGGTAGTTTTTTGAATCCTGAGTAATTTTGGGGTTTTTTTGGGATCTCAAGTCAGTTTTTTGGGTTTTTCTGGGATACTGAGGCAATTTTTGGGGGTTTTTTGGGTATTTTTTGGGTTTTTTTGAAGTTCCAAGTCACATTTTTAGGTTTTTTTGTGGTCCCAAGTCACTTTTTAGGGTTTTTTTGGGGTCTCGAGCTGTTTTTTTGGGGTATTTTTGGGGTTTTTTGGGGTCCTGAGTCGGTGTTTTTTGGGTTTTTTGGGGTTTTTGGGGTTCTGACCGCCAGCAGCTCGGTCTCGGTGAGGTTCCAGAAGCTTTTCCAGAAATGCACGTCCAGGTTCTGGGTCAGGCGCTCGAACTCGGCCCCGCGCAGCTCCGGGTCCAGAGCGAATTTCCCGCTGGTGAAAAGCGACCCCGCCGCCACCCCTGGCAAAAAAAACCCCAAAATTACCCCAAAATCAGCTCCACAACTCCAAAAAAACCCCAAAATCACCCCAAAATCTGCTTGGGGGGATCCAAAAACCCCAAAATCACCCCAAAATCAGCTCCACAACTCCAAAAAAACCCCAAAATCACCCCAAAATCGGCTTGCGGGGACACAAAAACCCCAAAATCGGCTTGGGGGGACACAAAAACCCCAAAATCCGCCCCAAAAAAGCCTCAAAATAATCCCGAAATCTGCTTGGGGGGACACAAAAACCCCAAAATCGTCTTGGGGGGACACAAAAACCCCAAAATCCACTCCAAAAAAAAATCAAAATCCCCCCAAAATCCACTTGGGGAGACCCAAAAATCCACCCCAAAACCATCCCAAAATCCACTTGGGGAGACCCAAAAACCCCAAAATCCACCTGGGGAGACCCAAAAACCCCAAATCACCCCAAAAAACCCCAAATCATCCAAAAATCCACACAGGGAGACACAAAAATCCCAAATCACCCCAAATTCAGCTCCAAAACCCCCAAAACCCCCCCAAATCACAAAAAACCTCAAAAATTCACCCAAAATTCCCCAAAATTCACCCCAAAAACCACCCAAAAATCCAAAATTCACAAAAAAGAAAAAATCAACCTAAAGTTTCAAAAATCCACCCAAAAATCCAGAAATTCACCCAAAATTCCACCCGCAATTCCCAAAAATTCCCCCCAAAATTCCCCCCAAAATTCCCCAAAATTCCCAAAAAATCCTAAAAATCCAGAAATTCGCCCCAAAATTTAAAAGATCGACCCAAAATTCTCAAAAATTCCCAACATTTTCCCAAAAAATCCTAAAAATCCAGAAATTTGCCCCAAAATTTAAAAAAATCGACCCAAAATTCCCAAAAATTCCCCAAAATTTTCCAAAACTCGCCCAAAATTCCCAACGTTTCCCAAAAAATCCTAAAAAATAAAAAAATTCGCCCCAAAATTTTAAAAAATCGACTCAAAATTCCCAAAAATTCCCCAAAATTTTCCAAAAAATCCTAAAAATCCAGAAATTCGCCCCAAAATTTAAAAAAATCGACCAAAAATTCCCCAAATTTTCCTGAAATTCCCCCAAATTTGCCGAATTCGGCGTCTCACCGATGCCGGGGTCGCGGTTTCGGTAATTCTCGCCGAAGGAGACGAGACCGATGGCCAAAGTCTGGAGGAACGGTCGGAGCGACGGAACGAACTGCGGAGAGTCAACGGAACCCAACCGTTGGCCAACGGAACCCAACCGATGGTCAACGGAACCCAACCGTTGGTCAACGGAACCCAACCGATGGTCAACGGAACCCAACCGATGGTCAATGGAACCCAACCGATGGTCAATGGAACCCAACCGATGGTCAATGTCAACCCAACCGATGGTCAACGGAACCCAACCGATGGCCAACGGAACCCAACCGATGGTCAACGGAACCCAACCGTTGGTCAACGGAACTCAACCGATGGTCAACGTCAACCCAACCGATGGTCAACGGAACCCAACCGATGGTCAACATCAACCCAACCGTTGGCCAACGGAGTCAAGAGTGACCAATGGTCAATGTCAACCCAACCGATGGTCAATGGAACCCAACCGATGGTCAACGGAACTCAACCGATGGTCAACGGAGTCAAGAGTGACCAATGGTCAACGGAACCCAACCGATGGTCAACGGAACCCAACCGATGGTCAACGGAACTCAACCGATGGTCAACGGAGTCAAGAGTGACCAATGGTCAACGGAACCCAACCGATGGTCAATGGAACCCAACCGATGGTCAATGGAACCCAACCGATGGTCAACGGAACCCAACCGATGGTCAACGGAGCCAAGAGTGATCGATGGTCAACGGAACCCAACCGATGGTCAACGGAACCCAACTGATGGTCAACGGAACCCAACCGATGGTCAATGGAACCCAACCGATGGTCAATGGAACCCAACCGATGGTCAATGTAAACTCAACCGATGGTCAATGGAACCCAACCGATGGTCAACGGAACCCAACCGATGGTCAACAGAACCCAACTGATGGTCAACGGAACTCAACCGATGGTCAACGGAACCCAACCGATGGTCAACGGAACTCAACCGATGGTCAACGGAGTCGAGAGTGACCCAATGGTCAACGTCAACCCAACCGTTGGCCAACGGAGTCAAGAGTGGCCAAGAAATCTTGGGGTTACCACGAAACTCCAAAAAGCTCAAAGAAACTCCAAAAAAATTGAAGAAACTCAAGAAAACCGCCAAGAAACTCCAAAAAAACTTGAAGAAACTCCAAAAAATGCCACGAAACTCAAAAAAAACCTGAAGAAACTTTAAGAACTGTCAAGAAACTCCAAAAGCGCCACAAAACTCAAGAAAACCGCCAAGAAACTCCAAGAAACTCCAAAAAACTTCAAGAAACTCCAAGAAACGCCAAGAAACTCGAAGAAACTCCAAAAAACACCAAGAAACACCAAAAAAACACCAAGAAACTCCAAAAAATGCCACGAAACACCAAGAACCTTCAAGAAACTCCAAGAAACTCCAAGAAACTCTGAGGAACTCCAAAAAACCTTGAAGAAACTCCACAAACCTCCAAGAAACTCCAAGAAAACTTCAAGAAACTCCAAAAAACGCTACGAAACACCAAAAAACCGCCAAGAAACTCAAAAAAAATGCCAAGAAACTCCAAAAAACGCCGAGAAACTCCAAAAAATGCCAAGAAACTCCAAGAAACTCCAAGAAACTCCAAGAAACTCGAAGAAGCTAAAAAAAAACTCCAAGAAACTCCAAGAAACACCAAGAAACTCCAAAAAACTCCAAGAAACTCCAAAAAACACCAAGAAACACCAAAAAAACTCCAAGAAACTCCAAAAAACTCCCAAAAAACACCAAGAAACATCAAAAAACTCCAAGAAACTCCAAAAAAACTCCAAGAAACTCCAAAAAACCGCCAAGAACCTCCAAGAACCTCCAAGAACCTCCAAGAACCTCCAAGAAACGCCAAGAAACTCCAAGAAACTCCAAAAAACCATCAAGAAACTCCAAAAAACGCCAAGAAACTCCAAGAAACTCCAAAAAAACTTGAAGAAACTTCAAGAAACTCCAAAAAACACCAAGAAACTCCAAAAAACCACCAAGAAACTCCAAGAAACTCCAAGAAACTCCAAAAAACCTCCAAGAACCTCCAAGAAACCTTGAAGAACCTCCAAGAAACTCCAAAAAAACACCAAAAAACTCCAAAAAAACTCAACAAAACTCCAAAAAACTCCAAAAAACCTCCAAGAAACTCCCAAAAAACTCTAAGGAACCTCCAAAAAATCGTAAAAAATCGCCAAAAAATCCCAAAATTTCCCAAATTTTCCCCAAATGTCTCACCTGGAATCCGAGGCAGCGCCCGTAGAAACAGCCGTTGTGCATCGTGCTGTACTCGCGCAGCACCACCGCGCTGATGCCTTCCTCCCCTTCCTCCTCCTCCTCCTCCTCCTCATTGTCCTCTCCATCGGGGAAGAGCCGCCCACCTTTGGCCGCCGCCGCCATCTTGGCCGCCAACACCAACAACGCCCTCAACTGGCCCAAGGCGGCGGCCACGGCTTCGATTTCGGCGGCGTCGGCGCCTTCCTCCCCTTCCTCCTCCTCCTCCTCCTCCTCCTCCTCCTCCTCCAACCCACCCGGCCAAGATCGGCCAACCGATGGTCAATGGAGACAAGAGCGACCAACCAATGGTCAACCAAGACAAGTCCAACCAACCGATGGTCAATGGAGACAAGAGCGACCAACTCAACCACCGCAAAGCTTCTAAAAAACTACAGAAAACGCCAAGAAACGCCAAGAAACTCCAAAAAACCTCCAAGAAACTCCAAAAAAACTTCAAGAAACTCCAAAAAACCACCAAGAACCTCCAAGAACCTCCAAGAAACTCCAAAAAACTTCAAGAAACTCCAAGAAACTCCAAAAAACTCCAAGAAACTCCAAAAAACCTTGAAGAAACTCCAAAAAACCACCAAAAACCGCCAAGAAAGTCCAAGAAACTCCAAAAAAACTTGAAGAAACTCCAAGAACCACCAAGAAACTCCAAAAAACCTTGAAGAACCTCCAAGAAACTCCAAGAAACCTTGAAGAACCTCCAAGAAACTCCAAAAAACACCAAGAAACACCAAAAAAAGCCAAGAAACTCCAAAAAACTCCAAGAAACTCCAAGAAACTCCAAGAAACTCCAAAAAACGCCAAGAAACTCCAAGAACCTCCAAGAAACTCCAAAAAAACTTGAAGGAACTTCAAGAAACTCCAAAAAACACCAAAAAACCTTGAAGAACCTCCAAGAAACTCCAAAAAACCACCAAGAAACACCAAAAAAACTCCAAGAAACTCTGACAAACTCCAAAAAAACTTGAAGAACCTCCAAGAAACTTGAAGACACTTCAAGAAACTCCAAAAAACCACCAAAAAACTCCAAGAAACTCCAAAAAACTCCCAAAAAACTCTAAGGAACCTCCAAAAAATCGTAAAAAATCGCAAAAAATTCCCAAAAACTCCCAAAAAACCCCAAAAAATCCCAAATTTTCCCAAAAACGTCTCACCTGGAATCCGAGGCAGCGCCCGTAGAAACAGCCGTTGTGCATCGTGCTGTACTCGCGCAGCACCACCGCGCTGATGCCTTCCTCCCCTTCCTCCTCCTCCTCCTCCTCCTCATTGTCCTCTCCATCGGGGAAGAGCCGCCCACCTTTGGCCGCCGCCGCCATCTTGGCCGCCAACACCAACAACGCCCTCAACTGGCCCAAGGCGGCGGCCACGGCTTCGATTTCGGCGGCGTTGGCGCCGGCGCGGAAGAAAAGGCTTTTCCGGTGCGCGGCGACGTGGCGGCACCGTTGGACGGCGCGGTCGACGCAGATTTGGACGACCTCCATCAAACTCCGGTAACCGTTTCCCGGCGTCGATTCGTCCAAATCGAATTTTGGCGCCACCTGGGCCAGGTGGGACATGGCGGGGCCAAGATGGCGGCCGTGGCGCAAGATGGCGGCGAAGGCGGCGGCGAAGCGACGCGCGGTGGCGGCGGCGGCGCCGGTGGTGCCGGAGGTGGGGGTGAAGAAGGTCAAGTTGTCGTTGGCCAAGTGTTGGAGGGATTGGAGGAGGTCCATGGTTTATACTGGGAGGGACTGGTTTATACTGGGAGGGGGAAAAGGGGGTTTGGGGTTACTGGTTTATACTGGGAGGGACTGGGAGGGAACTGGGAGGGACTGGGAGGGGTTTGGAGGGGACTGGGAGGGACTGGGATAAACTGGGAGGGGGAAAAGGGGGTTTGGGGTTACTGGTTTGTACTGGGAGGGGACTGGTTTATACTGGGAGGGACTGGGAGGGGTGAAAAAGGGGGTTTGGGGTTACTGGTTTGTACTGGGAAGGGACTGGGAGGGACTGGGAGGGGACTGGGACAAACTGGGAGGGACTGGGAGGGACTGGGAGGGACTGGGAGGGGACTGGGACAAACTGGGAGGGAACTGGGAAGGACTGGGAAGAGGTTTGGGGTTACTGGTTTATACTGGGAGGGGACTGGGAGAGGGTTTGGGGTTACTGGGAGGGGATTGGAGGGGACTGGGATGGACTGGGAGGGGACTGGGAGGGGTAAAAAGGGGGTTTGGGATGTTACTGGTTTATACTGGGAGGGACTGGGAGGGAACTGGGAAAAACTGGGAGGGGTAAAAAAGGGGGTTTGGGGTTACTGGTTTGTACTGGGAGGGAACTGGGAGGGACTGGGAGGGACTGGGAGGGGAAAAAAGGGGGTTTGCGGTTACTGGTTTGTACTGGTTTATACTGGGAGAGGATTGGGAGGGACTAGGAGGGACTGGGAGGGTAAAAAAGGGGGTTTGGGGTTACTGGTTTATACTGGGAGGGGATTGGGAGGGACTGGTTTGTACTGGGAGGGACTGGGATCAAACTAGGGGGGACTGGGAGGGGTAAAAAGGGGATTTGGGGTTACTGGTTTGTACTGGTTTGTACTGGTTTGTACTGGGAGAAAACTGGGAAGGGTAAAAAGGGGATTTGGGGTTACTGGTTTGTACTGGGAGGGGATTGGGAGGGGGTTGGAGGGGACTGGGAGGGACTGGGAAGAGGTTTGGGGTTACTGGTTTATACTGGGAGGGAACTGGGAAAGGGTTTGGGGTTACTGGTTTATACTGGGAGGGGTTTGGGAGGGACTGGGAGGGACTGGGATGGAACTGGGAAGAACTGGGAGGAGGTTTGGGGTAACTGGGAGGGACTGGGAGGGACTGGGAGGGGTAAAAAGGGGGTTTGAGGTTACTGGTTTGTACTGGGAGGGGACTGGGAGTGATTGAGAAGAGATTTGGGGTTACTGGTTTATACTGGGAGGGGTTTGGGAGGGACTGGGAGAAACTGGGATAAACTGGGAGGGGACTGGAACAAACTGGGAGAAACTGGAAAGGGTAAAAAGGGGGTTTGGGGTTACTGGTTTATACTGGGAGGGGATTGGAGGGACTGGGAGGGACTGGGAGGGACTGGGAGGAGGTTTGGGGTAACTGGGAGAGACTGGGAGGGGAAAAAAGGGGGTTTGGGGTTACTGGTTTGTACTGGTTTACACTGGGAGGGGATTGGGAGGGACTGGGAAGAAGTTTGGGGTTACTGGTTTGTACTGGGAGGGAACTGGGAGGGACTGGGAGGGAACTGGGATGGACTGGGAGGGACTGGGAAGGGTAAAAAGGGGGTTTGGGGTTACTGGTTTGTACTGGTTTATACTGGGAGGGACTGGGAGGGACTGGGAGGAAACTGGGACAAACTGGGAGGGATTGGGGGGGTTAAAAGGGGGTTTGGGGTTACTGGTTTATACTGGGAGGGAACTGGGAGGGACTGGGAGGGGTAAAAAGGGGGTTTGGGGTTACTGGTTTATACTGGGAGGGAACTGGGATAAATTGGGAGGGGTAAAAAGGGGGTTTGGGGTTACTGGTTTATACTGGGAGGGAACTGGGACAAACTGGGAGGAGGTTTGGGGTAACTGGGAGGGACTGGGAGGGACTGGGAGGGATTGGGAGGGACTGGGAGAAACTGGGAGAAAGTGGGAGGGGTGAAAAGGGGGTTTGGGGTTACTGGTTTATACTGGGAGGGATTTGGGAAGGACTGGGAGAGACTGGGAAGAAGTTTGGGGTTACTGGTTTGTACTGGGAGGCGACTGGGAGGGGATTGGAGGGGACTGGGAGGGACTGGGAGGGACTGGGAGGGGATTTGGGGTTACTGGTTTATACTGGGAGGGACTGGGATGGACTGGGAGGGACTGGGAGGGGGTTTGGGGTTACTGGTTTATACTGGGAAGGGTTTGGGAGGGACTGGGAGGGGACTGGGACAAACTGGGATGGACTGGGAGGGACTGGGAAGAGGTTTGGGGTTACTGGTTTGTACTGGGAGGGACTGGGAGGGGATTTGGGGTTACTGGTTTATACTGGGAGGGGTTTGGGAGGGACTGGGAGAAACTGGGAGGGACTGGGAGGGACTGGGAGGGAGTTTGGGGTTACTGGTTTATACTGGGAGAAACTGGGAGAGACTGGGAGGGAACTGGAAGGGGGTTTGGGGTTACTGGTTTATACTGGGAGGGAACTGGGAAAGGGTTTGGGGTTACTGGTTTATACTGGGAAGGGTTTGGGAAGGACTGGGAGGGACTGGGAGGGACTGGGAGGGACTGGGAGGGGAAAAAAGGGGGTTTGGGGTTACTGGTTTATACTGGGAGGGACTGGGATGGACTGGGAGGGACTGGGAGGGACTGGGAGGGAACTGGGAGGGGATTTGGGGTTACTGGTTTATACTGGGAGGGACTGGGAGGGGGTTGGAGGGGACTGAGATGGACTGGGAGGGGACTGGGAGAAACTGGGAAGAGGTTTGGGGTTACTGGTTTATACTGGGACGGGACTGGGAGGGGGTTGGAGGGGACTGAGACAAACTGGGAGGGACTGGGAGAAACTGGGAAGGGTAAAAAGGGGGTTTGGAGTTACTGGTTTATACTGGGAGGGGACTGGGAGGGAACTGGGAGGGGACTGGGAAGGGTCAAAAGGGGGTTTGGGGTTACTGGTTTGTACTGGGAGGGGACTGGGAGGGACTGGGATGAACTGGGAGGGTCCGGGGGGTTCCTTGCCGGTCCTGGGTGGGTCCAAACTGGTCCGAACTGGTCCAAACTGGTCCAAACTGGTCCGAACTGGGATGGTCCTCGATGCCCACTGGGAGCCACTGGTCCAAACTGGTCCGAACTGGTCCAAACTGGGATGAACTGGGAGGGTCCGGGGGGCTCCTTGCCGGTCCTGGGGGGGTCCAAACTGGTCCAAACTGGTCCGAACTGGTCCAAACTGGTCCAAACTGGTCGGAACTGGGAGCCGCGGGTCCGTCCCGGGCTGGGCTGGAGGAGGGGGGGGAGGGGCGGGGGAGGGGCGGGGGAGGGGGAGGGGCGGGGCCGGAGCCCCTCCCCCACCCTGAGCGGCCCCCCCGGGGTGGGGGAGGGGGAAATGCCAAAAATCTGCCCCAAAAAATCCCAAAATTCCCAAAAAATCCCCAAATTCCCCAAAAAACAAAAAAATTCCATGAAAAAGCCCAAAATTTCCCTGAAAAAGCCCCAAAAATTTCCCTGAAAAAGCCCAAAAATTCCCCTGAAAAAGCCCAAAAATTCCCCCCCAAAAATCCTAAATTCCCCGGGAAAAAAAAACCCAAAAGGTCCCCAAAATCTCCCCCAAAAAATCCCAAAATTCCCCAAAAAAAGCCCAAAAAAATTCCCTGAAAAAAGCCCAAAAATTCTCCCCCAAAAATCCCAAAATTCCCGGAAAAAAACCCAAAAATTCCCCAAAAATCTCCCCCAAAAAATCCCAAAAAAAGCCCCAAAAATTCCCTGAAAAAAGCCCAAAAATTCCCCTAAAAAAGCCCAAAAATTCCCCCCCCCCAAAATCCCAAAATTCCCGGAAAAAAAAAAACCCAAAAGTTCCCCAAAAAATCTCCCCCAAAAGACCCCAAAATTCCCAGAAAAAAGCCCCCAAAAAATTCCCTGAAAAACCCAAAAAATTCCCAGAAAAAAATCCAAAAAGTCACGGAAAAAAACCCCAAAAGTTCCCCAAAATCTCCCCCAAAAAATCCCAAAATTCCCCCAAAAAAGCCCAAAAACATTCCCTGAAAAAGCCCAAAAATTCCCCTGAAAAAGCCCAAAAATTCCCCCCCAAAATCCCAAAATTCCCGGGAAAAAAACCCCCAAAAGTTCCCCAAAAATCTCCCCCCAAAAAATTCCAAAAATCCCCCAAGAATTCCCCCAAACCCCCCAAAAAATCCCAAAAATTCTCCTCAAAATGCCCCCAAAAAATCCCCAAATCCCCCAAAATCCTCAAAAATGCCCCCAAAAAATCCCAAAATCCCCCAAAATCCTCCCCAAAAACCCCAAAATTCCTCCAGAATTCCCCAAATTCCCAAATTTCCCCTCCTCCCCCCAAAATCCCCCAAAAATTCCCCAAATTCCCCTGAAAATCCCAAAATTCCCCCCCAACCCCCCAAAAAATCCCCCAAAAAATCCCAAAAACCCCCCAAATCCCTAAAAATAAATTTAAAAAAACCCAAAATCCCCCCAAAATCCCAAAATCTCCCCAAAATCTCCCCTAAAACCCCCAAATCCCCCAAAATCCTTCCAAAAACCCCCAAAATTCCTCCAAAATCACCCAAAAATCCCCCCAAAATCCCCCCAAAAAACCCCAAATCCCCCCAAAATCCTCCCAAAAACCCCAAAAAATCCTCCAAAACCCCCAAAAATCCCAAAAATTCCCCTAAAAAATTCCCAAAACCCCCCAAAATCCCTAAAAAATATAAAAACCCCAAAATCCCCCCCAAAATCCCCCCCAAAATTCCCAAATTCCCCCAAAATCCCCCCAAAAAAATCCCCAAAAAATCCCAAAAAAACCCCAAAAACCCCTCAAAAAATCCAAAATATTCCCTAAAAAACTCCAAAATCCCCCAAAACCCCCAAATTTCCCCCCAAACCCCCCCCAAAAAAACCCAAAATCCCTCAAAAAATCCAAAATATTTTAAAAAATCCCCAAATTTCCCCCAAAAATCCCCAAATTTCCCCTCCCCCCCCCCAAAATCTCGGCGGGGGGTGGGGGAGGGGTCGGAATTTTTGGGGGGTCCCGGGAGAGGCCGAA